CAAGGTGGGTCTAATTGCACACGCTCCCACTGGGACTTCTGACAGCACAGACCATAAGGCTCGGAAACCCCAGGAGGGCAGTGGAGCAGGCAGGCATTCCACAGCCCTCCAACCTGCATGGTCAGGAGCCGTTCATGTCCCCAATGATATGGTTCCAGCTGCAGCTTTTAGCCACATGGCTCCGTCCCTCCTGTGTTCCTTTCCCGGTCCATGCCACCTCGATGTTGGCTTGTGATCGCCAGGTCAATTCATGATCACTGCAAACATCACTGTAATGAAAACATAAAAAGTGATGCCTCGCCCCCTTGCTAACCCCGCCCCCCACTAGCCTGGCTGTGAAATCACCCGTGTGAGTTTAGTGTCTGTCTGTCCCCCATTCAACTGAGGATACAAACACATGCACACACACGTGCTCTCTCACGGGCATTATCTTTTTCTTTTTTAGTTGGAGAGTAATGGCTTTCCAATGTTGTGTTGGTTTCTGCCATACAACAACGGGAGTCAGCCCCAAGTGTGTGTGTGTGTGTGTGTGTGTGTGTGTGTGTGTACATATATACAGAACTCTGTCTCCTGAGCCTCCCTCCCACCCTTCTAGGTCATCACAGAGCACCAGGTTGCACTCCCTGTGTTATATAGCAACTTCCCACTAGGTATCTGTTTTACATATGGATGTTATGTTTATTTTACAAAGGCAGGACCACACAATTTTTTTTCATCTTGCTATTCATACTTAATAATATATTTGGTGCCTATCAACACTGGTGTATGTAAATCTACCTCTTTTTAAAAAAAAAATACATGTACTATAATTTATCCAGTCTCCTATAAGTGGGTATTATAAATAATGCCTCTGTGCACACTCTGTATTTATGACCACAGACACAACACACCTATACCTGTGGGCTCTTCCCTGGTGTTTCCAAAGGATATGTTTGTGTGAAAATGTTGGCATGGGTCTAGGGGAATGCACAACAAAATGTGAGAAGCCAGTTGCACCTAATGAGCTGTGAAATGAGTTGTATCCGTTTGCATCTTAGTAACAGTCAGTGGAAGTAACTGTCCCCCCACCCTTGGCTGTTTCAAGTAGGGAAACCTGGGCTACCTTTCTTTCCACCCCTAGCTGCGGGCCTGGCTGGCAGACAGCCACACCTATGTACAGGTGGGTCTCAGTTCCTACTGCAGGACAGTACCTGTAGTCTTCAGGGCTCTCTTCAAAGTTTCCCAGACCTACTGACGAGCAGGGCTCACCATTTGGATGTGTTTTCATCATGCTTTCCGGAATCACTGTCAAATGCAGCATAATTCCTTCACCGTGAGGATCCCGCCTATAGCCACACCCATACCCAACCCCCCGGCACCCCTGTCCCTAACTCCTAGCAACCATATCTGTAATGTTGCCACCTTAAGAATGTAATGGAAGTGGGGACTTCCCTGGTGGTCCGGTGGCTAAGACTCTGCCCTTCCAATGCAAGGGGCCTGGGTTCAGTCCCTGGTCAGGGAGCTAGATCCTGCATGCCACAGCTAAAGATCCCATGTGCTGCAATGAAGACCCAGCATAGCCAAATAAAGAAAGAAAGAATTAGGTAAATGGAATCATACAGTATGGAACCTTTTGAGTTGGCTTTTTTTTAGATCAGTGAAATTTCCTTGATATCCATCCAAGACATTGCATCTGTCAGTAGTTGATTCCTTTTCATTGCTGAGTAGTGTTCCTTGGTGTGGATGCCTCTTAACTGTGACCATTCCTTAGACTTTCCGTGTTTTTGATGACCTTTACAGTTTTGAGAAGTACTGGTCAGGTATTTTATAGAACATCTATTGGCAAATAGAAGGGGAAAAAGTGGAAGCAGTGACAGATTTTCTTTTATTGGGCTCCAAAATCACTGTGGATGGTGACTGCAGCCATGAAGTTAAAAGGTCTTCTGGGATCTATCTGATGTTTTTCTCATGCCATAATTATGATCACAGAGGTCAGTTACTGTTTTAATCCCAATCATGTTGTTGTTGTTCAGTCGCTAAGTCATGTCCGAATCTTTGTGACCCTGTCTGCATGCCAGGCTTCCCTGTTCTTCACCATCTCCCAGAGCTTGCTCAAATTCATGTCCATTGAGTCGGTGATGCTATCCAACCATCTCATCCTCTGTCACCCCCTTCTCCTTCTGCCCTCAATCCTTCCCAGCATCAGGGTCTATTCCAATGAGTCAGCTCGTCACATCAGATGGCCAAAGTATTGGAGCTTCAGCATCAGTCCTTCCAGTGAATATTCAGGGTTGATTTCTTTTGGGATTGACAGGTTTGATCTCCTTGCTGTCCAAGGAACTCAAAAAATTCAGTAAAAGTTACTACAAAATTCAGTGGTCTTGATATATTCACAGAACTGTGCCACCATTGCCACTGTCTTAATTCCAGACCGTTTTTACCATTCTGCAAAGAAACTCTCTGCTTGTTAGCAGTCATCCCCATTCCTTCTTTCCCATCTTCCTCCAGCAACCTCTAGTGAGCTTTCTTTCACTATGGATATGCCCATTCTGGACATTTCTTAACTTAGCATAATGTTTTTGAGAAGTGGTGGACTGTTAGTCTTTATATGTACAAACATGTATCTATTTTGCCCTTGCATTTGAATGATGGTTTAGCTAAGAAAAAAAAATGGAGTTCACAGTTACTTGCCGTAAGCATTTTGAAGGTATCACTCCCTGGTTCTTTTATGATTGAGATGCCTGCTACCTGTCTAATTGTCATTCCTTTATAATATTTTTGCCATGATGTCTTTTGAAAACTTTTCTTTTTGATGCTCCATAATTTTACCATGACATATGTCAGTGTGAATTGATTTTTATATATCCTTCTTAGTACTGTTTTTTTTGAAAACCCATATGTTCCTTCCTTCTGGAAAATTCCTGGCTATTATTTTTTCAAATTGTTCTTACTATTATTGCCTCTTTCCTTCTGTTCCATTTCCTCTTAAGCCTTCATTGATACCTCTTAACCCATCCTTTGGGTTCTGTGAATTGCTCATTCGTATTGCTTGAGTCTGGGTCTCTATGTTGTTTTCTGATTCAGCTCCTCAGTTCTTCCTCTTCACTCACTGGTGCCCTATCTGATCAGTGTCTAGTCTACAACTTATCCAATTTATTGAGAGTTTTGTTTTAAAACCTTAACTTTTATGTTCACCATTTCTAAATTTTCATTACCAACTATTCTTATTCAATTCATGCCTGTTTTGTTTCATAACATCTTGTTCCATTTTACAGATATTAGTCCTTTATTGAGAATATTTGAGAGCCAAATATTTATTTTAAATATTTTCCAGACTTGTTGATATCATTGATTTCCCATTACGTGAATTCATGTCCCTGATTGAAAAGTTTGTTACTTAGCATGAGATTTTCATGGCTGGTAGGATTTTTTATTTCAGGTTCAATTTGAGTAAGAAGCATTTTGGAGTTTTATTTTTCCCTCACTTTTCTCTTGACTAACCTCTCTGTCCAGTGGTTTTGTTACTTCCACTCCAAAAGTATCCATCTGGGACCAGGCTTTATAATACTGCTTTACAGTCCTGGCCCCACAGTCAGCCTGGGGAAACACGTTTTGGCTCCTTGACGTGAGCCCGTGTCTGTCTTCCCTCCTTAGGCCCATGGGTTGCAGTCAGCCTTCACCCGGTGCTGGGCTGGAGGCACCTCCTACCAGCACAGGAACACCAGTGATTAAATGTTAAGGAGCTATGTGAGTTGGTTGTTAAAAGCCATTACTACAATTCAATTATATGAACTCATCGTTAAATAAATTATATTAAGAAGCAAAGGTAATACTCAACATACTCAGCACTTACCAGTGTGTGTGGCGGTGGAAGGGAGACACAATTTTTTTTTCTTTTTTTTCTTTGTCTATTTTTTCTTATTTCTAAAATTATGAAGGTGTGATGACATATTTACAAAAGACATGGAAAATACAGAACAAAGTCACACATAGTTCCGCTGTATATTTTGCTGTTGTTCAGTCACTAAGTCATGTTTGACTCTTTACAAGTCAAGCCTCTTTTTTTTTTTTTTGGAGCGCTCGTTAACCACACCAGCCCAGCACTGCCCTGACCCAGGGCAGCAGAGGTTTCCTTCAGTCTCCTTCCATAAGTGGAGGTATTGAGGCTCCCCTGTTTCTGCCAGGAGCCAACCTTTATTTCCTTATCTCAGAAAAAGTGCTTTCAGTCTCGATTATAAGAGCTCAGCTCCCACTCACTACTCTGTCTTTCTGCTTTTTTTTCTGGCCGCTAGAGCTATTTATTTTGGTTTTGAAGGCTCCCTCTGTCCTTTGGTTTCTTTTTTTGTATTTTACCCACCGTGGCTCTCAGTTTGGAGAGGAAGAGCTGCATTAAATGTTAACCTTGCTGTGCTGTCTTGATTAGCGCTCCATAAACGCTATTTTTCATGGACATGTACCTTCTGCCTTCTGTGGCTATGTGTGTAGGCCTCAGAGGGTTTCCTTCATCTCTCTCAGAGTCATTCACTTCATCGCCCTCTCTCTCCTTGTTCCTTGGGGCTCCCCAGGTGGCTCAGTGGTAAAGAATCCGCCTGCCAATGCAGGAGACACAAAAGACACAGGTTCGATCCCTGAGTCAGGAAGATCCCCTGGAGTAGGAAATGGCAATCCACTCCAGTATCCTTGCTGGAAAATTGCATGGACAGAGGGGCCTGGCAGGCTACAGTCCACAGGGTCATAAAGAGTCGGACACGGCTGAGCACGCATACATACTGCACATTACTCGTTCCCTAGCATTGCCTGTGCAAGGCAGACAGACGGGTGAATAGTGCATCATGTACTGAGTCATCCTTGGAAAGAGTCTAGATGTCACATGTGCCACCTTCGTATTTATTCTATAATGCTGAATAATAGCATGTATTTATCATTAACAGCGTGCTGCTGTTCACAGAAGAAACCCTTGGAGCCCCTGGTTATCTCGGTGGAAATCCTCGGCCCCCTGACACTCTCTCCCTCCCCTGCAGGTGTCAAGGCTGTCTTCTCCGGCCACTACCACAGGAACGCTGGGGGCACCTACCGGAACCTCGACATGGTGGTGTCATCCGCCATCGGGTGCCAGCTGGGCAAAGATGCCCATGGGCTCCGAGTCGTGGTGGTCACCGCTGAGAAAATCATCCACCGGTACTACAGCCTAGATGAGCTGAGTGAGAAGGGGATAGAAGACGATCTGATGGATCTGTTGAAGGAAAACTAATCGCCGATTACGATTGATTTACTTTTCACTTCTACTGTTTTTTTTTTCATTTTGTTAGAAACAGTAGCTGCATACAACCCGTTATTGAAATTAAAAAAAAAAAAAAAGTGTTCCAGGCAGATTTGTGAATTTATGTCCTTCTGCTTAAAGGACTGGGTCCTGCCCTAAATGATACTCAAATGGAACTGCCCTCCCTTTTTAAAAGAGAGGAGGGAGGAGCCTGAGAATGAAAGAATAAATGATGTTATTAAAATATCCCTGCATGGGTGATTAAATACGTTCTCTTAATGATGTGTTTCTCACCTCTGCTCTTCATTAGATGGTTTCTGGCAGCCTTTGGTAAATGTCTACCTATCAACTTCAGTCACACCTTGACATCCAAGTGTGATCTCGGATGATCCTTTGAGCAAACTGCATCTGATTATAATAAACTGTGGTCAGGACTCCCAAAATGTTAAGCAAAATGAAGGTCATCTCCTTTCCTTCCTAACAAAACAAATCACCATGTCCCATTACTAGAGCCGCAGACTCATCTTAATAAGCTGAGCCACTGACATTTGCTGTTAAAGTCTGGGACCAGTGATGAAGGTGATGCAGGTCAAGTGTTGAGTTTACCTTCTTGGCAGCTAGAAGAGTCACCTTTGCACCTATGTGTGCTCAGTCGCTTAGTCGTGTCTCTTTGCGACCCCATGGACCATAGCCTCCAAGCTCCCCTGTCCATGGAATTTTCCAAGCAAGAACCACCTGGGAAGCCATAAATTGTCCATATTTGAAAACCTCATCCCAGAGACTAGAACCGAGCCCTTGAAGGTCCATCTCTGCAGTCAAGGGCGGCACACCTGATTCCCTCTCATTCATTGCTGCAACAACTCCTCCACGTGTGGGCATTCCCCTGTGATGGAAATCATCCTCCGTTTATGAGACCCTTAGCTCTGCTTTCACAGAAGACATGGGAACTGAGGCAGAGTTCCCCAGAAACCAAGCATGAATTACTCTGGGGCAAAAACAGCGCTTTCGGCTACGTTATCTAAATTGGCACCAACTTTGATTAAATGCGCTTGCTGGTGCCTTGATCAAGGAGCACGGATGTGTTAAAATCAACATTGTCTTTGTTTAATCTACCTCACTGCTTCTCCACTGCTCCCGACCACTGCATTAGTTCATCCACATCTTTTTCAGCAGATGTCCTGGTGGACCAGGAACCTGGGTACTCACCATCTTGCCAGGAAAACTCCACAGCGTTACGCAGTAGCATTCAGTCATCCTAAAAAAGAAAAGAAAAAAAAAAAAAAAAACAACTGGTTACAAATGAACTGCAAAGTCCATTAAATTAAATGACTTTCTTGTTGAAAAGTTTTAGTCAATGTAGCAAAACCATGAGAAATTAAAGAGAAAGATAATTGGATATGTAAATTCATAAGGAACAAAAGACAAGGAGTTAATTATACTCCAGATCAGTGACACACCATAGCTCACTGTTATGTGGCAAGAAAATTAAAAATTTTCAAAATGAGTGTGATCCTATTTAAGAGTTTCTGCTGCATTCTTGCCTTGTGTTCACCTTTCTTCACAACAGATGTGGCTAGAAGAAATCAAGAACAGGAACTCAGGAAGAGGTGTAACCAGTAAGCCTTGATTTCTGAGGTCTAGGACGTCATAACTTGTGAACTGGAATTGTCGGTGCAGATTCGGGGTTCCTGGGGGCACCTGGGGAGAGTTCGTCACCAAGGGCTAATGGAGACACCTTGTCATGTCACCTGTAAGAAATACTCTAGACTGTGGCACTTGGGTTTGGGAGAGAATATGGAAATAATTCAAAGTAATGGAAGTGAAACTTCTAGATCTCCTTTTCCAGAAACCTAATAAGGTAATTGACTCAAAACACGGCAAGAATATACTAAGAGGAGGGAATCCGATGAAATCCTCACCATTTTTAAAGTAAGCAAGTAGCATTATTTTCCAGTGGTGTTAGGTTCAGAAAGGAGTTAGGAAATTATTATAAGTCTAATAGTTGATAACTACCAGTGTGTTCACTTACAATTCCTTTTCCTTTTAAAAAGAGATATTTTTTAAAAAGTGCCTTATGCCATGATAAAACAGTAAAACACACCATGATCATAAGTGCCATGGTTTTGATTGTTGATTATGTGCTAAGTACTGTTTTAAGTCCTTTGGCTCAGAGTAGTGGGGCCACTTGGCCAAGGTCACAGTGGGCAAGGCAGGATTGAAGTGTAAGCAGTCCAGCTGCTGAGCCTGTGTTCCCCAACGCTATCCTCTTTCCTGGGAAACACCTTTCACAAGTGAGGGGTTTGTACCTGCATTTGGCAGTAGTCAGTATTCAGCAGCAGCATCAATATTCAGCACTCAGTGTTAGTCAGAGGCCCTGGGACTTCATCCCAAGGTTTGCAAAGCCTGAGCAGGGCCCAGAAGCCCCTTCTCTGACACCAGGTTCAGGGTGGCGAAAGCCTGTCCAAGGAACAGGTTGTTCCAGGCAGAGAATTTCCACTGGAGAAAATTGAAAAGCTGAACTGAACCATAATGGGCCACAGGACATCACTCTGGCCACACCAGTAGATGCTTCAGCAGGTGATGCTTCCTTCCTTGTTCAGGTTCCCGCCCCCAGGAGGTAGGAAGCCAGCTGCTCTCTCAGGGCTCCCCGCTTCAATTAATGATTTTAATTGGAAAAGAAATAAGGGACTGCTAAAGGAAGAAGGATATTTACAGTGATCTAGAATCTGGTTGTCAAGACTCAGGAATGGGTTTGTGGATCACAGGTGGAGAGATGATCATCTTAACCATATTTGCTTTTTACAATAAATAAGTTCATCTCAAGTCTTCAGTCATGTGTCCCCTCAGGTTGGAGGGCAGAGTGGGGATGGGGGGATGTGGTAAATTTCGTGAAACATTTCATAATGTCTTGATTTTCAGTATTCCAAGATAGTTCCTGATAGACTCAAGTTTTAAGCCTGAATAACTTGTTGTGATTCAGTCACTAAGTCGTGTCTGACTCTTTAAGACCCCATGGACTGCAGCACACCAGGCTCCCCTGTCCTTCACTATCTCCCAGAGTTTGGTCAAATTAATGTCAATTGAGTTGAATAACTAGGACTGGGAAAAGAATCTAAAAAAGAATGGACATATGTATATGTGTAACTGATTCACTTTACTGTATGGCAGAAACTAATACAACATTGTAAATCAACTATATTCCATTAAAAATTTTTTTAAAAGGATACACGGTGAAGGACAGAGAAGCCTGGCATGCTGCAGTCCATGGGGTTGCAAAGAGTCAGACACAACTGAGTGACTGAACAACAACAATGTTCACAGCACTATAAAATAAACAAACAAAACTAGGACCATTTATCTTGTGTGCATGCTCAGTCACTCAGTTGTGTCTGACTCTTTGTGACCCCATGGACTGCAGTCCACCGGGCTCCTCTGTCCATGGGATTTTCCAGGCAAGAATACTGGAGTGGATTGCCATTTCCTCCTCCAGGGGATCTTCCTGACCCAGGAATCAAACCCACTTCCTGGCATATCCTGCATTGGCAGGCAGATTCTTTACCCCTGACCCACCTGGGAAGTCCCCATTTACCTTATGTGCCTGAAAAACAGACTGAGTTATAAATCTATATATACATAATACAATTTAATATTACAGTCTGTTCTCATGTGAAATCTTTTGAGAAAAGGTAGCAAAAACATCATTTGCATTTACTTGAACCCTTAATACTTATTCCCCAAGTAGTGTCTAAAACAGCCTTTTGCAGTCGTGAAATTAAGTGGCAATACTGTATTGAGCTAAGGGGAAAAAAGAAGATTTAGGAATAAATTGTCAAAGCAAGTTCTATTAAAAGCTCTCTGTGATAGACGCCAGGGATTTCTTGTTCAGATAACCTTAGCGGTTTTGGTTGCACATGCAAGAGAGAGTACTTGACAGGTAATATCGATTTTTTTTTTAATAACATCATAAAATACTGTCTTAATGCCATTGGAGAGCTCTTTAGGTATATTTATATACACACAAAATGAAGAATTTTTTTCTCAGATTAATAAATGACCTCTAGCATCTTTCTAGAAAACATTTTAGTGACTAAATTCTCTTTTTCCATCAGTGGATTTTCATTAGTGACTACACACATACACACACAAAAATATATATTCAGATTGGCTTTTTTCTTTAGATAAAACCCAAAGGAACTATAGAAGTTTAAAAAAAAAAAACTCTGTAAATAAATTTCATTAAATGTGAATATTCAAAAATTACCTTTTACTTTCTGTTGTGATATTTGTCTTTAAAAAGTAATTTTCTTCCTTAAAGGCGCTTTGCATCTGGTTTAGAACTAAGTTCAGACTCCTTCCTGTGACTTCCCAGGCCCCGCCCACTCTGCCCCCGCCCCGCCTCTCAGCCTGGGCTCCGCCCCCTCGCTCTTGCTGCCAGTCCCACTGCCCCGTGCACCTGCTGTCTCTGATGGGAAGTGGCTTCCTGTCCTTTGGGGCTTCAGGTCAGACGTCCTCAGAATGGCCTTCTTTCCCCACCTGTCTGTCGTTATGCGCCTCAGCCCCACAGGCGTCGCCTCCCCCACTCATTTGTTTCCTCCATAGCGTATCACTCAGGACTTTGCTTGTTTTTCCATGATCTTGATGTGTACCACTCACCCCCACCCAGAATGCAAGCTCCACAGCAGGAAGGACCTTGTCCGTCTCTTTGGCCACTCCTCCCAATGCTTAGAGCCCTGCCTGGGACAGAGCAGCTGCTCGATAAGGACTTGGCAATGAATGTGGAATACGATGCATAGCGATACTGGTAATGACATCAATATTGTAATGTATTAACATAATACATTAGCACTCAATACAGGGAGGGGGGGAAGGGAAAGAGGCCATATTCCCAAGCCTTGTGGTAGTTCTTTTGGAATTGTCCTTAGAGTCAGGTATTGTCAACGACAAGTCAGTGAATAATACCAGCGTTATCTTTGGTTCTCCACTCAAAGTGA